TTTAGCGTATTTTGCAATGCTGGTTTGGTGGAGGTGTATTCTTTTGTCTGGGAAACTCCTTATTTTGCCTTCCATTTTAACCAAGAGCCTTGCTGAGTAGAGCAGCCTTGGTTGCAGGCCTTTGCTTTTCATTACCTTGAATATTTCTTGCCATTCCCTTCTGGCTTCTAGTGTTTCTGTTTCTATTCCGCTGCTAGCTGTATCGGGCTCCCTTGAATGTTACTTCATGTTTCTCCCTTGATGCCTCTAAGATTCTCTCTTTGTCTTTCATATTTTCCATTGTAATTATGATGTGTCTTGGAGTGGGCCTCATTGGGTTCCTCTTGAATGGGACCCACTGTGCTTCCTTGACTTATGTGACTTTTTCTCTCCTCAAATTAGGGAACTTTCCTATCATTATTTTTTCAAACAGGATTGCTATCCCTTCCTCCTCCTCTTCTCCTTCTGGTATCCCTATTATCCGGATATTATTACGTTTCAGGTTGTCCTGCATTTCCCTCAACACCTCTTCATTCTTTTTGGGTCTTTTTTCATTTTCTTGCTCTTTCTGGGAGCTCGTTTCTACCTTATCATCCAGCTCACTCATTCACTACTCAGCTTCATCTAGCCTGCTTTTGATTCCTTCTACTGTGTTCTTCAATTCAGAAATTGCTTTCTTCATTTCCTCTTGCTCTTACTGATACTTTATTTGTTCTTTTTCTTGCTGATATAGTTTGCACTATGTTCCTCATAGTTTCCCTGTAGTTTTTTTGTAATTCTCTCTGAGCTCACTGAGCTCATTGAGCTCCCTTAGAACCATTGTTTTGAACTCAATATCTGATAGTTTACTTGCCTCTATTACATTTAGTTCTCTTTCAGCGTATTCCCCCTTTCCCTTCAATTGGGGGTTGTTTCTTGGTCTTCCCATTATTTGTGAGACTCTTGTCTTGCTTCTGCTTCTTAAGTTGATCTGTCTTGATCTCCTGACTTTGTGGTTTGAACTTCTATGGTAGGAGACAGCTGTTTTCTTTCTAGATCTGCCTCTGATGGTGTCAGATGTTGACTGGGTCTGAGTTTAGGCAGTCTCTTCCAGACTTCCAGGAATCTACTGTCTGTGGCTGTCTTCTTTAGCTGTTAATCTAGTCATGCTACACTCAGCAGTCAGGCTCAGACACCACAGTGCAGGGCAGAGTTGCTCCTGAGGGAAGCATTATTGGCTCCTTTCTTGCTGTTGCCACTCAGTGAGTGGTCTGCTTGGGCCAGATAGCTGCTGCCGTATGGGGGATGAGTCAGCACTGGGATCCCACCAGCTACTCTCTCAGTTCTCTCCCCAAAGACTCCTTCCCCAATCTCTCCTCAGGTGTCTCTTGCCCACACTGACCCCGCCTTTGCCGGGGCCCAGGGTAAGTGGCTGCAAATAAAAATTTATGCATTGGCCTTTTAAAAGGCTCTTTGCATCTCCAGCCACTCGTCATTGGCAGAGAGCATCCCTGCCACTCTTCACAGCTAGGTGTTATTTGTGTACTTTTTGGGCTCTGGTGCAGTAGGCTCGAGATCCCTGCTTATGCTTTAGACCCCACTCTTCTCACTGGATCCAACAGGCTGTTTCAACATCCCTCTGGCACTGCTCTCTGTGGATGCCCTGCCCACCTTCTCGAGTCCCTACTGCACTCCTTACCAGTTAGGTTGTGCTAACACTGATTCTTCTGTCCATCCGAAGTTATAAGGCTCCTCTCTCGCTATTGCTCAGTTTTTTGTTCCAGGTGTTTTCTCCACAATTTATTTGTAATTCCATATTGGTCCTGGGAGGAGGTCAGTGTGACTTCCATTCACTCATCCCCAATCTTGATTCCCCCCTAAACTCTTTTTATGAGGCCAGCATCATCCTAATTCCAAAACCAGATAAAGATATAACAAAGAAAGAAAACTACAGGCTAGTATTGCTGATGAACGTAGATGCTAAAATCCTCAAAAAAACATTGGCAAACCACTTACAGCAATACATTAAAAAGATTATGCACCACAATCAAGTGGGATTCATCCCAAGGATATGAGTATAGTACAATATTTGCAAGTCAATACACGTAATACATCACATAAAGGAAAGACAAAAACTACATGGACATATCAGTAGATGCAGAAGGAACATTCAGTAAAGGACAGCACCCATTTACTATAAAAAACACTCAGCAAAGTAGGAGTAGATGGAGCATACCTCTACATAATAAAGGCCACATATGAGAAATCTACAGCCAACCTCATACTCACTGGGCAAATATTAAAAGCTTTTCCCCTAAGATTAGAAACAGGAAAAGGGTGTCTGCTTTCACTACTTATACTCAACATAGTATTGGAAGTATAAGCCACAGTGATCAAACAAGAAAAATAAATAAAAGGCATCCAAATTGGAAAGGAGGAAGTAAAATTGCCATGTTTGCAGATGACATGATACCATATATAGAAAACCCTATATACTCCACCAAAAAACTACTCGACATAATAAGTGAATTCAGCAGTACAGCAAGATACAAAGTCAATATTCAGAAATCAAAGGTATTTTTGTACACCAACAATGATATATCAGAAACAGAAATTAGGAAAAAAAACCCATTTACTATAGCAACAAGAAAAATAAAATACCTAGGAATAAACCTAACCAAGGATGTAAAAGACCTGTGCTCATAAAACTACAGAACACTGAAGAAATAAATTGAGGAAGACACAAATAAATGGGAGCATATACCATGTTCATTGATTGGAAGAATTAACATCATCAAAATGTCCATACTACCTAAAGCAATTTTTACATTCAACGCAATCGCTATTAAAATACCAATGGCATATTTCACATATATAGAACAAATATTTCAAAAATTTACATGGAACAATAAACGACCCCAAATAGCTGCAGCAATTTTCAGGAAGAAGATCAAAGTAGGAGGGATTACAATACCTGACATCAAACTATATTACAAGGCCATTGTAATCAAAACTTTCTAGTACTGGCATTAAGAACAGAAACAGATCAATGGAACAGAATAGAATACCTAGAAATAAACCCATGTCTCTATGGTCAGTTAATATTTGACAAAGGGGCAGGAACATAAAATAGAGCAAAATAACCTCTTCAACAAATGGTGTTGGGAGATCTGGACAGGTACATGTACAAAAATGAAACACAACCACCAACTTACACCATACACAAAAATAAACTCAAGGTAGAAAAAAGTTAATTATAAGTCATGACACCAAAGTCTTAGCAGAGAAAATATGCAGGAAAATTTCAGATATCCCATGCAGCAATATTTTCATAGATATGTCCCCTTGAACAAGGGATATAAAGGAAAAAATAAACAAATAGAACTACATCAAATTAAAAAGCTTCTGAACAGCTAAAGAACACATCAGCAAAATGAAAAGGAAACTAACCATATGGGAAAATATATTTGCCAATGATACCTCGGACAAGGGTCTGATCTCCAAAATATATAAAGAACTAACATGACTCCATGCCAGAAAGACAAACAATCCAATTTAAAAACAGGCAAAGGACCTGAACTGACACTTCTCCAAAGAGGACATAGGGAGGGCCCATAGATATATGAAAGGATTCTCAACATCACTAGCCATCAGAGATATGGAAATTAAAACCACAATAAGATATGACTTCACACCAGTCAGAATTGGCATCAAAAACAAATCAACAAACAACAAGTGCTGACAAGTGTGGAAAAAAGAGAACCCTAGTACATTAATGGTGGGAACACAGACTTGTGCAGCCACTGTGGAAAAAAGAATGGAATTTCCTCACAAAACTAAAAATGCAACTGCCTTTTGACTCGATAATTTCACTGCTGGGTTTACACCCTAAGAATCTGGAAACACCAATTCCATAGTACCTATGCACACCAATGTTCATAGGAGCATTATTTACAATAGCCAAGTGCTGGAAACAACCTAAGTACCTATCAGGAAATGAGTGGGTCAAAAAACTGTGGTACTTTTACACAATGGAATACTACACAGCAGAGAGATAGCAGGAACTCCTACTCTTTGCAACAGCATCGATGGAACTGGAGAGTGTTATGCTATGTGAAAATAAGCCAGGCGATAAAAGACAAATACCATATGATCTCACCTATAAGTAGAACCTAATCAACAAAAGAAACAAGAGAGCAAAATAGAGCCAGAGACATGGAAATAAAAAACAAACTGACAGTGACCAGAGGGGATGAGGGAGGAGGATAACAGGGGAAAAGAAGGGGAAGAGTCAAGTCAAGGAACATGTATAAAGGACCCATGGCCAAGGACAATTGCAGGGGGAGGACTGAATGTGGGAGGGCGGTGGTCAGGGCAGGGGAGAGTAATGGGGGCAAAATGGGGACAACTGTAATTGAACAACAATAAAAAATAAACATCCCCCCCACCAAAAAAAAAGAATTCTAGTCAAAATTGAGTTTCTAGATCTCCATAGTTAAAGACCAGATCACGGATCTGCGGTGTTCACTCGTTCTGTATATCAGGGTGCATTTTTTATTGTCACTATGACTGGAATGCTACTGGAACTTAATGCCTGTGGGCCAGGGATGCTGGCTAAGGTCAGTCCTACACAACAGAAAAAAAATGTCCTGCCCCAAATCCTTGTAGTTCTGGAATTGATTAACACTGCCTTAGACTATAATGAATCCACCAAAGTACTTACCTTCAAGGCCTAGGCAATCAGTTGACCCACCTCTGAACTTTATCTAAATGCAAGATCCCACAGTTCCCACTTATCTACAATTTCATATCTAATAGTCACTTTATCTTTTGCTTCCAGAGAGCTCTACCAATTAACCCAGATGCATGTGCCAGCAGAAGAGCCCCTGCAATTTCTGAAATTGGGTCATTGATGCTGAATAAAATCAGCTCTCAACATTCCAGAGAGGGTCAGAGTCTGGTAAAGTGAAAAGAACACTCAGGGAAGAGGTTGTCTAAACCTTATGCAACATCACAGAAGAGGATTAGACGAGCATACTCACATTGGTGAGATCTTCCAAAGCTGATCTCTTTTTGAGAGGACCCTGAGGTGAAGATGAATATATCTTTGCTTGGTATTTCTCCCCTTTCTACAAAAGTAAAAGAGGTAAATGAGTATACCCAATTGTGAGCAGTCTTCTTCAGGGATTTTAGGACACCTTTTGGGCTTGGGGGAAATTCCAGAATCTCCAGGCAACTACAGATGCATATAATAAACCCCAGTAAACTACAACAAAAGGAAATTTTGATATTCACTGCTGCTTAGAGAGTCCCTGAAGGAGGTAATTATTGATGATGAGGACAAGGCTGTGAGGAGACAAGATGACATTCAGTGTAACTCTTAGAATGAGCAAAATAGCTTGGTAAAGTTAATTTTCCCTCCTACTTCTCACATATTTGTTGTTATACTATCCAAGATTAACAACCACCACCATTACCCAGTCAAGGTACTTATTTTTTAGCTTAACCAATTAGAAAACAGAAGTAATTCTTCTCAGCTCTTTCAGAATTACTCTACTGTGTTAGATCGGTCTATCAATCACTTCTCTAAATTTCTGATCACTTACTGTGTCATGTACTAACTGTTCATGGTGTAGATAGAGGACCAAGTGAATAAATGGTTTGATCCCAATGTTCTGCTTCATATAACTCTCTGATATAGGAAAGGCCAGGTTTATTTTCATTTCATAAAGGAAGTCTGATACTTAGGAGACGAAAGAAAGAATCTGATAAACTCTTAAAGAATTGTCTTTTAACAGGGTATTTCTAGTTGTCATTAGAAAGAACTCTTTTTGTTGTCATTAGGAACAGCTTAATTTTTTGTTAGAAAAAAACAATTATGTAATATCAACTTTGCTTTTTTTGTAATAAACCTTATAATCTGGTTTGAATATTGCCAAAAAAAAAAAAGAAAGAAAGAGAGGAAGGAAGGAAGGAAGGAAAGAAGGAAGGCAGGCCTGTTAAGGAGTAGAAAGGGTCTACAATGTGATTTACCCTAACTTTTACTCCCACAGATGATCTTACTCATTTGGGAGTGGGGTAAGTGATGCACAGATAAACAATATCTAGAAAGAAAGCCTCCCTTGTTGCAAAATATTTGCCTCTCCTCCCTTCTATCATTTCTCCTTTGTATATACAAACAAATAGGGCTTAAAATGAATTACCAAACTTCTTTCTTAAAATACAAAATTTTCCCTGTGTGTTTTAAAATCATATTGGAGTATATACTTTTAAAATATGATATCTGATTATTTACACTTTATATAAACTTTTTTTATATAAACAGTGTAACTGTTAGTATACTGTTAGTCTTTTGTCTAGTTCACAATAAATAATCCTAGTGGAAATAATTAGTAAAAAATTAAAATATTTTCTCACAAATTAGCTAAGAAATAAACTACCAATCTGTTATCTAATTCCTACTTAATATTACTGGTAGAAATATCCCCAAATAAAATTCACAGGTGAAATTGAACTCAATAAAAATTTATATTTACATACAATGGAGTAAAAACAGTCCCTTCAATAAATGGTGTTGGTAAAGTTGGATAGGTATATGCAAAAAAAAAAAGTAACTAGACCACCAACGTATGCCATACAGACAGATAAAAGACTTAAAAGTAAGTTGCAAAACCATAAAAATCCTAGAAGAAAACATAGGCAGCAAAATCTTTGACATCTCTCAGAGCAATGGTTTTGCTGACATGTCTCCTAGGGCAAGGGAAACACAGGAAAAAATAAACAAATGGGACTGCATCAAATTAAAAATTTCTGTACAGAAAAAGAAACCATCAACAAAATGAAAAGGGAACACACCATATGGGAGAACATATTTGCCAATGATACATCTGATAAGGGGTTAATCTCTAAAATATATAAAGAACTTATACATCTCAACACCCAGCAGATAAACAATATCCAATTTAAAAATGGGCGAAGGACACTTCTCAAAAGAGGACATACAGATGGCCAACAGACATATGAAAAAATGCTCAACATCACTAATCACCAGAGAAATGCAAATTAAAACTGCAATGAGGTATCACCTCACACCTGCCAGAATGGCTACTGTCAATAAATCAACACCAAGTGCTGACAAGGATGTGGAGAAAAAGGAACTCTTCTGCATTGTAGGTGGGAATGCAGACTGGTACAGCTACTGTGGGAAACAATATGGAATTTCCTCAAAAAGTTAAACATGGAAATGCCTTTTGACCCACTGCTCACACTTGTGGGAATATATCCTAAGGATCCCAAAACACCAAATCAAAAGAATATATACACCCTTATGTTCATAGCAGTGTTATTTACAATAGTCAAGATCTGGAAACAGCCTTACTGCCCACCGGTAGATGAGTGGATAAAAAAGCTGTGGTACATTTACACAATGGAATACTATGGGGCTGTTAAAAAAAAAAGGAAATCTTACCTTTTTCTGCACCATGGATGGACCTGGAGATTATTATGCTAAGTGAAATAAACTAGTCAGTAAAAGACCACCATATGATCTTTCTAATATGTGGAATCTAATGAACAAAATAAACTAAGGAACAAAATAGAACCAGATGTATGGAACAGACTGACAAATGTCAGGGGGGTGGGGGGTGGGAGGACTGGATAAAAGAAGGTGAAGGTATTAGCTAAAGAACATATCTGCACAGCCAATAAACACAGATAACAGTGTGGTAAATGCTAGGGGAAGGGGAGGCAAGCAGAGGGCATGAAAATGGGGGGACATCTGTAATAGTGTCAACAATAAAAATGTTTTTAAAAAATTTAGATTTACAAAATGTGCACCAATAAAGTTGCATTTGGAAAAATCCCTACCACCAAAGAAAACTTACAATGATGTAACTCTAATCAGAAAATTTGATATGGACAAAAATCTGATAAATGTGTCAAAAATTTCTTGCCAATTTATATAGGAAAAAAAATTTGGACTCTCCATGAAAATCACTTTTGTAAAATTAAAATGAAAATGATTAGAAAATGTTTATCTGTACCGAAAGGAAACTAATCAAGGAAATTAAATTGGCCTAATAACATCTGCTCTAGGAAATGCTCTCTTAATTACAATTCATTAGTGTTAGTAAAATTCCAATTAAAATATGTATGATGATGAATGAACAGAGAACATCCCAGGCTTGAAATGACTATGTCAAACTACCCACATGGTCAAAACAGCAGAGTCAGAATGGATCCATTTTTCAAATTTAAAAAAAAAAAGCTTGATAATACATTTGTTGACCTAATCTTTATACTCTCCCCACGATGTACCAAGCAGCCTCCTGGAAAGGTGCTTTGAACATCTTAGAGGTAGTAAGAGTGTGGATATTATCATTACAAGAGCTGAATATTATTTGCTTTTTAAAATTGTGGAGGGTGGCCTTCATTTCAGCCATGATTTTATGGGAAAGCAAAGTTCACACTTTTCCCCCCAAGTTCTAATTTGTTGGTCTTTTCCAACTACAAGGACCTCCACCCCTTCCCTCCTTCTTAAATTAAACCACACATATTCCAAAAGATTTAAGGGTAAGAATAGGGACTAAGCCAGGAAGAGGTTACTCGAGATACTTGGGAAAGACAGTTTGCTCTAACCTTTTCAGATTGGCTGTGTTCACTGGGCACAATTTTACTGGACTGAGATTTCTTGGTCTCATGTTTGGAGCTTCCAAGTGGTAGTGGCAGTGGCAATGACATCTCTTACGGATTGGGCAGTGTCTATCCAAGGCAGAACTGCAATCAAAAAGAGAGTTTTTAAAACACCATTCAATAGAAATATCACAGAATTCTCTGGAGACTCTTGAGAAAACCCAGTCTCTCTATAGCATCCCTAGGAGGAAACAGACTTTGAGTTAGGCAAATATGGGTTCAAATCTTGGTTTAAACGCAATTAACCTTGGGCAAGTGACTGAAAGTCCCTGGGCTCCACTTATCTCATCTATAAAATGAACATAAGTATACCTACCCCGGCAGGGTACTATTCAAATTAAGTGAGATACTCTATATAAAAAGCCCAGCACAGTGCCTACCATCCACTCTGGGCCCTGCAATTATAGCCTAGCCCTTCATTTAGGCCTAGGAACATTGGCCACAACGTACGTGATCTACACTGAAAACAATCAAGAATGTGACTGGTCATGTAGTATGGAGGCTAGCTGGTAGGATTAATGCTCTTTAAAAGGCATGAGGTCCTGGCCACGGCAATTGTAATATGCTGCAGAAAAGACACAAGAATGCACTGCAAACACACATATGCACAATAGGCTAGAGAGTATTCAAGGGCTGCATTCAAGCAGAAGAAACTGTTAGCATAAAAATTTAACAGATATTACAACATTTGGGAGAATACTACCTCACCCCATCTCAGTGCGGGACCCCATTCTATATTTCTTAAGGTGTGTGTAGTTTGTGAGTTCTTAGTAGTTAGGATATACTTATATGTCTTACAAGCAAATACATTTATGGGGGACTTCGGCCTGTGAAGGCCCCTCGTTCGCTGCAGATGGAAGAATGAGTTGTTGCAGACACCATTTGCCTGTCAAGAAAAGGGGAAGGCAATTCTCTCTCAAGGAGAATGCCCCAAGCCCCTGTGCTCAATGGTTTCTATTGAGAGGGTTGCAAGCAGAGGATAGGTAGCAGGAATGTATAGGTAATCTAATTACATCAGTAATTTAAGCTTACAGAGAATATGTGATGTTTGAAGAAGACAATGGCAGGAACACACTAAACTGGTTGGGTCTGAGATGAGCATACATTATGGCGCCAGGTGGGATTTGGATCAGGGTCCAGGAATTTTATAAATTTCTTTCCCAGCCTTGAGCTGCTTATCTGGCATAAGATTAACAAAGCTTGAGAAAGAAACAAAGCATGCTTCAAGGAGTGAAATTTACTTGTAGGCCTGATTTCCCCCAGGGGCCCTCGGAGTTATTATTGGGTCTTGCCTATCAATTGCATTACCAGTGTTCCGGCCAAGTCTTATGGGTCCTCTCCCAGGCCCCAGCTTGCATGGGACTACAGTCCCCAATAGCACTCAAAGTGGCCCCGTACATACAGTATGAGGAAGAATCATTTTTTTTGGATACACAAGAAACCCTTCCCACTCAGATACAACTGCTCCTCCAATCCCACTCACATTGAACACCAAGTTCAAATGCATTATACAAACAACAGGCTTCCCTAAGAGAAGCCCTAAGGCAATGCAACAAACTTACCACTATGTACCAGATATTTCAGGCAAAAGAGAGAGAAACACAGATAAATCATGGATTTTATCCTAGAACTATTTACATGCACAGTTCTAACAGTATCATAAAAATGTGACAAATGATTTAACAAGGTATATACAAAGTACTAGGGAAATATAATGGAAATATAGAGGTTATATTTGACCCGGACTTAAAGGACAAAGAAGTTGCCAAGTTGACTGTGGGCACTTTTCAGGCAAAGAAAACCTGAGCCCAGGCAAGGCAAACAGTTGAACATGCAGAGCACAGAAGGTTCAGGGATGTGCAGGTTGTCTGAGTGCAGAATATAAAGAATGTGCTAGGGAGGAGTTAGAAAAGGGCTGAAATCTAGGCTGGGGGTATCCTGGTAACAAAGGGAAGCAGAGGAGACTATAGCTTGGGGGAAAGGTTTAATTAAGAAAGAATTTGAGTTTTGCCTTGGATGGAGAAGTATTTCAATACTAAACATTTTGTCAATGACAAAAAGTCAGTACAAGTGTATGCCTTCACATTTATTACCTCAGTGATCCTCACAACAAAACTGTTTCCATTTTATAGCCTCAGATGAGTTAAATGACTCAATATACAGGACAAGCTATTAAGCAGTATAGATCACCCAGTTCTTTCTAAAAAACCATGAAGTCTCTCCAACCACACTCAAAAACATTTCAAAACAGTCCATGGTCCAAAATGAAAGGCTCTAAGTGTGGTGGTGAGAAGAGGTAGAATTAGCACAGCCTTTTTTAAAAAGAAGGAATTGGGCTTTTAAATCAGCCAAATTAGCATCTTTTGAGTCTCAGCTTCTCTTTTGCAAAAGAGCTATACCATCACTTACTTGCAGAGGCATCCTGTGGCTCAAATATAGATTTGTATGTGAAAGCCTAAGCATGGTAGGCACTCAAAATAAATGGTTGGCATTCCTCTTCTCTTTCTTCAAATCCAAAACTATTTTCTATCTCACCCTTCAAAACTCAGCCAAGCAGCAATAAAGCTAAATTGGGTGCACCCACCCCTAACTGCACTGTATGAAAGCCACTTACTCCACTATAATTCACACCTCATACATTTTTTTTTTTACTGATGACAATACACTCATATTCCGAAACCTTTGTTTTTCAAGGGAAAAGAAAAAAATGGACTGGAACAAAAAAGGCTAAAATACTTCCAGCTGATAATGTCACAGATTAATTAAATCTCAGAAAAAAATAGTTATTCACATGATGGTCATATACCACCTTCACTCTCCTGAACAATAATCACTTGCTTTGGGGGACACACAACTGACTTAAGTAGCTAATTTCCTTGCCACTAGAAAGGGGGATTGACATCACTAAAAATACACTTTAATAAAATGGCACTCTCTGCAATACACTCTGGACTCTACTACCTACAAAATATTGTGTCTTACTCAAACAAGAAAATTAGAATCCTTTCCACTTTTCAGACTCTCCTACTCTCCTACATGTCGAAGACCTCCTTGGGCAACCCAGAGCAGTGCTGCAACCCACAGAGGCAAGCTGACTATTTCAGAAGTTCAAATTGTTCAGACTCCAAAAGACAGTCTTCAGGAAACAGTAGCAACTTTATTTTATATATAAAGGCAGGCTACTGACAGCAAGACATTAGGGAGAGAAAGCACCACTGGGCTGGGAAGTATGCCCAGGGTCTAGTTCTGACCCTGCTTGTAGCTAGCTGTGTGACACTGAGCAAGTCCATTTTCCCTCCCAAGGCTTCATTTTTTCACTTAATAAAATAAGGCAATGGGACAAGAACCTCCATACTATTCAAAGAATGGTAAATGGTCCGGCAACATGAGTATCACGTGGAAGCTTTTAGCCCTTTAAAATCTCAGGCCCCAGGCTAGGTCTTACTAAATAGAATATGCAAGTCAACAATATCCCCAGGTGATTTGTATGTATACGCTTTAAAGTTTTAAGAAGCAAGGCTCTAAGGTCCCTTCTACATCTAGCCTTCTACGATTCTAATCACATAGCAGAAAGTAATGGGCAAGCCAGAGATGAAGGGATTGGAAGCAGAGATAGAAGAGTGGAGATAAAAAGATAACAAGGGAAAAAGGACATGTTTCCATCAACCTGTACTTCAAAAGACATCCCTCAAGTTGCATTCTCTGACTTAAATACGTCGTCTAGTGGGTGAAACTGATCCTTCACACTTTGACTTGTGAAAAGACATTTTGTAAATGTACTTATTCAGGCATATGTACTAGACGCTCCATCTAAAAGACGTGACCCAGTCTCATTTGCTTTGCCATCTCATCCTCTAATACACACTCCCTGCCCAACCTTGTACAAGACTCACCCTGCAGTCTGCTGACTGGCAGGAGAACAAAATAAGTTTCCTGACAGGGATGCCACACACCCCAGCAAGACAGGAACAGAGTGTAGCAAGGGGATGGCGTGACGCTCAAGGACCAATACGCGTGCGACAAAGCCGGACATTCGAGCAGGCAGTACAAACCCAAAGGCGCCTACCTCACATCAAGACTGGGGGCAAAACAGGAAAGACTATGGACGCACTCCTAGACCAGGAGCGGCCCGGGAAATAAAAGGAGCACCGGATCGCAGCGACCGTAGGTCTCAACTTGGCCTGTGCTCTGGCCAATCCACTAGCAGCGAATTTTGAAAATTACCTCCCTAGAGAAAGCTCAGTGGTGATTGGCCATCAGGGGCCAATCAGCGTACAGAGTTGTGACGTAACCGTCCAGCACAGAGGGGCGGGGCTGAGGGTTAATTGTATTCTCCAGCTAAAGGACAGCATTAGGGAGTGGTTTCCAGTACAATTGGTTGGAAGAGACAGGTTTGACTAGCTAGAGTACTGGGACACTGTAAAGAAGCATTTTCATTTAAATAATCCTGCTGGATGAGGCATAAAGCGGCTGTATAATCGAGGCTCAGACCAGTTAAAACATTAATATTAATAACCCTTTGTAGAATCAAACATTAAGTCCTGCTGGCTTCACAAATGGCCTTGTGATGGGAAGCAGGGCAGAAATTATTGCCCTTACTTTATGCCCCAAAGTGCAGAGCGCTAACAGTAGTAGCTAACATTAATTCAGTGCTAGCTCTGTACTAATTGTTGTATTTTTTTATTGTCTTAAGCCCTGTGCAAAAAATGGGTATTTTTATTACTGCCATTTTACAGATAAACAAAGTTGTAGCTTGCTAACTGCCCAATATCACAAAGTTACATTATGGCAAAGCAGGTACTACAACTCAGATATTCTCATTTACTTCATTTATACAATAATTTTTCATTCAAAAATATCTATTGAGCACATTGTGTGCTCCATGAACTAGAAAAAATATGTATGAGTAATTGACAAAAAGACTGGAAGAATGTATAGCTCTGCTCTGTCTTCTGAGGAGGCAAAGAGAAATGGAGATGCCAGGAATAAAATCTAGGACTTCCTGCATATATCAGATACTCTACCACTAAATTATATCCGTACATTTA